TTGTGTGAGCATTCCCAGCAGAGGTGAAAGTATATGCCTTTACTCCTACAACCCTTCCAGCATAGGTCCAAATCAAATCTACCCATGTCTTGTAAGCTGAGCTGGGTAAAATACCATCTCAGTAGCGTTTTATAAGCGGTTTATTACCATTGGAACTCTGTTGCGGGTTATTGATCACCTGAATGTTAGACAGCCACTGAAACAGAATCCCTCGTGAATGCTTTTTATGATACCTTATTATATAGAAAAGGAAACGGAAATATATGGAAAATGGTTTAACATTTTACAGATCATAAACAATTAAACAGTAGATTCTTACAGGTTCAGTTTTATAATGAGATTAAGGGTGATATTCTGTTAGAACTAGCTGAGTTCCGTAAAAGTTGGAAGCTTGAAAAACAAACTTCAACCGACTTTTTGTTTTTTTCCTCCGACTTTTTTTATTTTTAGTTCTATTTTCGGAGATTAAGGGTGCAATTTGTCTGTTCTGATTTCACCAGTCTCTAAGTAATATCCTTCCTTGTTCTAGAATGAAATTTTAATGGTAGCAAAGCACCATATGATTCACAGTCGAAGACAATAGTTTTGTTAGCCCTCTGAACCATTTTTCAAAATAGTATAATGAAACCCTCAGATTCCTGGCGCTTCATAACTCAAAGGTCATTGACTTCAACCTTATTTTGTGAACGTCCTATTAGATAAGGCCCCATCGTCTTTAATCAAACAAGACAAGATCACATTGCGACACTTGAAGACATCTCACATACATCTTTCTCTTATAGCATCCCGAATGTTTCCCTCAATTACAGATAATATGCCATGAACTCCTACAAACTAATCTATCCATCTGTATGTCTAGCTATCATCTATCTATCCATTTATGTATTGTTTCTTGAAGGCTATTTTCTGACATTAAGGCCAGCAGATATGAAAAGGTAACGTAAGGTTAAAAATAAATAATTTGCTTTATTCTTTTTGAATTCAATTCGACTAATATTTCAACTGATCTTTCAAACTTATCTGTAGAACGCTGTGAAGGTGGTTGCAATCTTCACAGTGATCAAGGTGTCCCGTGTGCTATAGGCAACCACTAGAAACAAAATACGGAGTTTGAAATGCCTTTTAAAACCCAGCATTCAACTGTGAAATGCTTCTCCCGCATTTTACATATTTTTATCTTTTGTGGTTGTTAAAACTATAACACCTATCCTGAAAAAAATACATTTAAACTGGCTTTGTCACTGTCGGGGTTTTTGCAAATAATTCTATTTGACTCTAGCGGTGACTCTACCGCTGGCAATGTGATGGTCAAGGGGTACAGGGGAAGCTGAGTTATAATTACATGAACCTGTCCCTTGTTCCCACCGCCATGCTTTTCTTGCTAGTTCTTTTCGGCTCCACATGTAGGAAAAATAGTAAGACAATGTAGTCCATACTTTGTCTCAGTATATCTTTTGAAAGATTTTATCTTTATGAAATACTCATTGGGGGAGGAGGTGCCTGGGGACCTGGGGACACTGTGACACTTGAGGACACTGGGAGACATGAAGACATGGGGACACTGGGTGACTGAGACATGAGGGGACACTTGGAGACACGGGGCACTGAGACACTGTGATACATAGGGGACACCTTGATATATAGGGGACACTTGAGACTTGATAAAGACCTAGGTACAGGTCAAAACGTTGTGGTGTCCAATAAACCTACTTAAATCTATAACGGTGAGTACCTGAGATTTATTTCTTGTATACTAAGGGACACTGAGACACTTGGGGGCACTGGGAGACATGGGAACACTGGGTGACTAGGGAACTCTGGGAGACTAGGGGACACTATGGACACTGAGAGACACCAGGGACACTAGGAGACATGGGACACGGGGACACTATGATACATAGGGGACACTGGAGACTTGATAAAGATGGGGGTACAGGTCGAAACATTGCTGTGTCCAAAAAAACCGGCTTAAATCTATCACAGTGAGTGCCTGAAATTTTTATTTTATACTAGGGGACACTGAGACGCTGGGCGATATTGGGACACTGAGGCACTGGGAGACTAGGGGACTTTAGGAGACTAGGAAACACTGAGACACTAGGGACTGGCACACTATGGACACTGAGAGACACCAGGAACACTGGGAGATATGGGGACACTGAGATACTAGGGACACTGGCTGGGAGACATGGGGACACTAGGAGTGCCCAATGTTTCCCAGGTCTCAAAGTCGCCCAGTGTCCCCCTGTCTCTGTGTCCCCTAGTGTCTCAGTGCCCCCATGTCACCCAGTGTCCCCTAGTGTTTGTATCCCCATGTCTCCTAGTGTCCCTTAGAATCTGTGTCCCCATGTCTCTGTGTCCCCATGTCACTAGGACACTAGGGGACACCTAGAGACATTGGGACACTGAGATATGGGGACAGTGAGACACTAGGGGACACTGGGAGAGACATGGGGACACTGAGAGACTAGGGGACTCTGGGAGACATGGGAACACTGAGAGACTAGGGTCCACAGAGAAAGGGGGACACTGGGCGACTTTGAAACCTGGGAAACATGGGGCACTCCTAGTGTCCCCATGTCTCCCAGCCAGTGTCCCTAGTATCTGTGTCCCCATATCTCCCAGTGTTGTGTCCGTAGTGTGCCAGTGTCCCTTCACCCTCAATTTGGAGTCCTGTCTCTTATTGGGGGAATCTGCTACAAGGTATTGCTATGCTCTGCATATTCCCTTGCTATAATCACTCCTAAGCTCTTTTAAGAGCTTGTTCCTGCTTCGCTCTGAAGGAAGTGAGGTTTGGCCTGCGGTGGTTGTGGTGTCGGCTAGAGTGCTTGGAATCCTCAAGAAGCGCTAGGAGCATCCATCAACGGAGGTACCCAGTTGGGGTGCCAGGTGATCCGTTACACATTGAAGAGGCTACAAGGACAGGCTATAGGCACTAGAACAACTGCATTAATCTGTAGTGGTTCTGGTGACTATAGTGTCCTTTAAAAAAGACTGGCTCCTAACTTTTTCAGCTGGCTCCTAGATTCCAAACAAATTTGTCAAGCCCTGATGTAAGCCACTTATATATCATATACACTTCTCAATCAGTTCTCTTTTATGTACAGGGTGGCCCAAAAGTAGGTATACAGTATAGCTTATTTGCACACTATTTAATCTTGCAAGTGCTCGAAATGTCTTCAATCCATGTTGCAAAATTTCTTGAACCTGTCCAGTATACTGTGACACAAATTACAACACAAATTCCAGTCCATGTCCAAGTCAATGTCCATAAATGCTTCCAAGATGAATGCTTTTAATTTGTCCATTGCCTGGGGATTCCTCTCAAAAACCTTATTCTTACCTTCATCTTAAAAAAAAAAAAGAAGTCCATTGGTGTTATATCAGGCCATTCAATGCTGCCACGTTGTCCGATCCAACAAGTTTAGGTAAGTGTTACTACCCACAGTTCCTCAAAAAAAAAAAACCAAACACCTACAACACCTTCGCTGGAACGTGCAACCCACACTGTGACTCCTGGCTGGTTCAGTTAAGATTTGATAGTCAAATGAGGATTTTCATCTGCCCAAGACATATAGTCATTTCTGTTCACGTGGCCTGACAATTTGAAAGAAGCCTCATCTGACCAGATAATCTTATCAAGAAGGTCTGGTTCGCTAGAGGTTTGGTTATGCATCAACTCACAGAATTGCAACCGACAGCCTGGGCCATCTTACAGAAGATCCTGTAACAGTCTTGGATGGTACAGCTTCAATTTATGCATTAAGCGTTGGAAGGGCCGTTCTTAGTATGGATAGGTGCTGAGACGCACTACATGTGGACTTTAGAATCCACTTTCCTTGTTGTTGACTCAAATTTGCTGTCATCATTCGCAGTAACAGTAAAGAAAAATAATTCTATTATCTCCCCTTCACTATTCTTTCCAACTGCCACACCGATATTTAAATGCCTAAAACGTAACTGCCACTTTGTTGTGTGTCAGTGTGTGTGTGTACCCATTGTGACAGTGTTGGGGATGGTGGTCACTGTGTATATCTGGCACCCAGACTTTTGCGCAGCCACTATCCTGACGTGGGTTAGCACATGCAGCCCCAGGGAAAGTTAACCCCTTAAGGACACAGCTTCAAAATCTTGTCTTACCCTTAAGGACACAAGCCATTTTTCCATTTTTTGCTGTTTGTGTTCAAACGCAATTTGCATCTGTCATTTATTGCATCAACACATATTATATACCGTTATTTAGAGGGCAAACAGGGCTTTAATTTAATGTCACATATGCATAGATAAATTCTCATTAATTATAAAAAAGGCCAAAAAATGGGGGAAAAGCATTTTTTTTTCACAGTTTTGGCAATAATAGCGTGTGCATATGTCCAGCTTATTTTGCAAGTTACTGGTCACAAAATACAAGGACTAAAATAAAATTTTTAATGTGGAACAATTTTAGAAGTATGGTATGTTTGTCTTGTAGGTTTAGTAGCCATCACAGAAAACAAATTTGCCACACAAAAGTATATATTTATATAAAGCAGACATCACAGGCTATTTACCTAAGGTTAGTTTGACACTTTTTACGTAACCATTTCATCGCAAATATTGGCGTAAAATAGTTTTTTCTCTATTTTGGCATATTCACATATAACAAGGTTTTTGTAATGTGTATTTTTTTTTAAAATATTTTTATTGGTATCAAGTCATAAGCGTGGTTTACGATTGTATTTGAACATTACAGTCGGTTGCCTGCGCAGAGGCGTGTTTCTCGTTGCGGTGATCGGAACAATCAGTTGCCTGCGCAGAGGCGTTTTTTCATTGCATCTAACATAACGTTTAGTTGCCTGCGCAGAGGCTTGTGTCACTGTGTATCTACCATAGCGTTTCGTTGCCTGCGCAGAGGCTCGTTTCACATTGCAGCAGATGTGTCGTTTAGGTGCCTGCGCAGAGGCGGTTCGAGTATTTTACTTTTAACTATATAATGTAATATAATTATTAGCTATCATAGTGTGCGTGCTGTGTATGGTCTGGCTGGTGTGTGTGTTGTTTGATGAGTGTGGTGCATATTCTGATGCTTGTTTTAGGACTTGTCACATGTCGCAGCGCTTTTTTATCACATCTATAGTGGATTTTGCCTGCGCCGCGTGCGCTCAACCCGTTCCTAGGGCTGTGTGTGTTGAGGTAGTAATGTGTATTTTTGTAAAGCAGGTGTGTGCTATTCCTGCACAGAACCCCATATTGTGTTCAGCTACATCTGCTGAGTATAACGATACCCCCAGTGTATGTCTTCGGCACTATTCTGTGAAGCTACAATGCTATATCATAGACAAGGCTATTTCACTTTCTATATTTAGAATTTTCATAGACAGATTTGATGGGCCTATGTCTTATTTTAGGGTATTATAGCAGTTTGACTATTCAAATAACCCCACAATGGACTTTCATTTGATAAAGCAGGCACCCCAGGGTATCTTATATGGTGTATATTGTGCCTTAACCTGTCACCATTTTTTCACCAATGTATGTCAATGTTTGTGGTGAGGGGGAAAAAAATAGCATTTTTACATATATGTTGCATTTTTGCTGAGTATTTCTTAGGCTTGATATGTACCACTGTCATAAAAAAACAAACAAATTATGCTCAGTTACATCTTCTGATTAAAACAATATTCCCAAAGTATGACCTAGACACTATTTTGTGAAGTTACAGTGCTGTAAAAGAGACGTGACAAGTTCATGTTTTTAAGTGTGAATTTTCATGGAGGGTTTTGATGCATCCATGTCCCACTTTGGAGCACTTGAGCAGGCTTACATATTCCAACCACCCCATAAAGGCATACCATTTCTTAAAGAAGACATCCCAGGGTATTTCAAATGGCATATTTTGAACCTTAGTAAGGAATAATTTTTCTGCTAGCTTGTACCAAGTGTAGTGGTAAGCATTTTGTCTGCCTTTTTGACACACAAAGTGAGTTTGCACAGTATATTTTGCAAACCTTATGTGTGCTACGACTGTATAATACTTCATATGTTGCTCAGCTATGTTGTCTGAGTTCAGCAATACCCCCATATGTACTTTTGCCAGATATATGTGGATATTGAAGGGGCATATTTGAGACACAGCCATTCAGTTTTTTGTTTTTTTCTAACTTTGAAGTTTTACACTGTGTCCATGTTCCATTTTGGCTGGTTATTCAAACTTCCCCACAAACGCATACTATTTATTAAAGAATACACCCTAGGGTAATTCAAAAGGCATATTTTGAACCTTAGCGTGGGATCATTTTTTCGCTAGTATATTCCAGATGTAGTGGTAATGAGCATTTTTTAATGTATTTTTTTTTTTACTTTTTAAACTTTTTTTTTTACCATTAACCCCTAACTAGCAATAAGTAGCACTAACAGTAAATTCCCTACTTTCCCACCCACCCCAGCTAGCAAAATAATTAATTTTAAAATATTTAAATGAATTAATGAAATAAATTGAACCCCTGGGTTAATCCTCAGGGGCTAAAAAAAAAAAAATTAGATCACAGCAGAATATTGTGATCTGTATTTTGATCACTGTAAGCAGTGATCAACTGGCAGGGAAGGGGGGGGGTTTACTTTTAATTTTTTAAATGTTATTAAAACATTTGTTTAAAACTTTTTCTAAAACCTTTTTTAACGTTAATCCCTAGCTAGCCTAACACCAAATTCCCCAATTCCCCGCTAACTTCCACCCACCCCAGCTAGCTAAATATATAATTTTAAAATATTTAAATTAATTAATAAAATAAATGTAACCCCCGAGGGTTAACCAAAAAAAATGTAAATTAACCCTCAAGGGTAAAAAAAAATACAAAAATCAGATGACCGTAAAATGTAGTCCCTGCCAATTGATTACTGTAGTCACTACTAGTACTCCAAGATATCCTAGGTGGGATCATACCACTAACGCTGACTACAGAGAGCAGTTAGCCTGCTCTACACTTGTGAGTATTATTTTATTTATCTATTACTGATATTTTACTCAGTGAGCACTATCAGTTGTCTCTTTTTATTCCTTCCCCGAGTGTTGTACATATCTTTGATGAAAGAAATCTACTATATATCCCATAAGTGGGTATTATGCCACTTTACTTCCTTCATGCTAGAGCTAGTTATAAGATCCTACAAATGTGAGTGTATTACCATCCTCTTCCATATAGTTTATATATTGGACTATAAATATTGCACCATTGGTTCCCTCTATTTTTTGTCTTTCATCACACCATATAATCTGTTGTGATGAATTTCATTGATTCAACTGTATACCTACTGTGGCGGAACCAACCTCGCCACTGTGCACTGGAGGAGCCTGGTTGCTCGCCTACTCCCTTTAGACTATGGCCCAGCATTTAAAACTTTTTATTTTACCTGCAGAAAGGCGTTTCTGCCGGGGTGTTGGGTAGATTCAATCTACCGAACAAAGTACCAAACGATCGACCACCTGGGAACTGGAGTGTGCCGTCAATTGGCCGCCCAGAAGCTGTGGTTAACCGCAGCTTATTTGATGAACGCTGGGTGGCCTTTGTTCGTTTGCCGAACACGTGGCAGCGGCCATTTTAACTCCCGAACGGCCAGCGGTGTTCAGCGCCCAAACTATGGAACTGGAAACGGACACTTATTTGCGCGAACACCGCTGAGCCGCCATCCTCCTTACCTCTGCATTCGGTAGTATAACCAAATGCCTGTTCATTCGGTAGTTTGACCGTAGGAACAGCATCCCCCCAGATAGCCATGCCATGGAGCCTATTCGTGTAACGAAAGACTATGGGAAAGACTTTGGCTCCATGGCAATTGAACTGTATGTATGTCATCTGAGCGCCATTCGGTAATAATGTGTGCTCAGATCTAAGCTATCTGGGGATATGTAGAATGTATGTGTTTTATTCATTATTTGTAACATTGGATATTTTTGTGTCTTTTTACTAACGTGCTCAATGGAGTTTTGCCTCTGTCCTGGGAGATAATTGAATTACTTCCCAATTATCTCCAGGATAGAGAGGAGGGATTGTGATGCATTGTGGGAGTGTTTAAAGGTGTATGTCTGTGATTGGTCAAAGTCCAATATGTTTCCCAGTCTTCCATCTGGTCCCCTAAGGGAGTGTCCACTAGGTGGAAGACCTGCATAAAAGCCGGGCAGGTAACCCCAGTAAATGAGTTCTGCTTGACCCTCAAACGAAGTGTCATCTCGTTCTTGGGGGGAATTGGATTGTATCCTGTTACAGTGCGACTGCCAGGAGTGTAAACTGTTCGTGTGGTTTTTCCTGTCCGGCTGTTTAACAGCATTTGTGTGTTTGGGAGATTGGTGAATTCATGTGTTTGCAGTTCGGGAGATTGGTGATTGCAGTAGCTGCCTGTGCATCTGAAAAGGGGAATATCGCCTAAACGGTTTTTAAGTTTTAGAATGAAAAGTAAACTGTGTACTTTGTCCTTAAGACATTTTGCAAACTGATAAGTTGTTAGAAATGGAAAATATTGTTTCTAATACAATGTTCCTTTTCTTATCAAGCTGACGTCTTACCCAATAAATAAATAAGATGTTTAGACTTTAAGACGCCATTTTGTCCTAGATTAATGCAATAACAATGCAATAACAATTCAAGGCTATGCCTTCGTCATCCTAACTTCTAGTCAAAATAAAGATTAAACATGTCTAGGTTGAGACAACTAAACATAGATAAGATGTTCCTATGTGAAATGACCAAGTTATGGCCTTGTATCTTTGCCAAGGGAAGGTAGGTCGAAAAAAAATGACCTAATTGAACATCTAAGGTATAAATATGTGTATTTAATTAATATTAGGACACAGAGGAGAGATTTTGGAGACGGAGACACTGCTCCGTTTTCTGACTGATAGAGGTTGACATGTTCAGGAGGGTATGTTATTCTATTTACTGATATTGCAAGCATATAATTTAATCTTCTAAACTCTGCTAGAAATCATTGTAATGGATTTTATATGTCTATATTTAAATATTTAATAAAATATTTAAAATACAAAACTTTATTGCTTCCAAGACAATCCCTCTTTTATATTGTATTCTCAATTATTTCTATATTTTAAATAGAGGATCTCTTACTGACTATGTATGATATTATGATATAATACTATGATACCATGATATTATGGCTAAGATAACTGTATTTTTAGCTCTGCTAAGTTCTATTCTTAAAGACGTTATAGTGGTTAATAGGGGAACCGGCTGCGGTTACATTGTTACAGCAATAATTTATATAACACGTAAAATACTGTTTCTTTTAAATACTTATCTGAACTTGTCTCAGTTTGGTATTTCAAATAAAAGACAGTCATAATAACAGGATATAACTAACCCTTTACGCTGTTTTCAGCATGTGCACCTGTGGGCTTGCACTCGTAAGGATTGTTATAATGGCAAGTGCATGAACTGAATGCGTTATGTGAGTATGTTGGGGGCACACACTTTCCAGTGAACCTCTGTTACGTGAAGGGTTGTACAAACCTATGTAGATAACCCTTAGGTACACTTTAAAAGCAAAATAGCGTACTGCATAGGCAACAATACACTTTTAAAATCCAACTTTAAAAAGGATCAGTAAACAAACACATAATCGAAGAACTATTTGATATACTGATTGTACATGGACACCATTTATATAGATGCATTCTCTTACACACATAATACATATTTTGTTAATAACATTTTTGTTCTATTGAAATGCTGTTTTGCATGCACTTTCACATGTATACATGTTTTCATACTTCCTGCGGGAATTCTCTTGCATGTATTGAAATCTGTCTCTCTCTCCCCCTTTTTTCCTTTAGTTATCTCACAGGGAGACTGCTTCGTCAACCGCCGTTACCACCTTTTAACTAATTAACCACAAACACCCACTGAGGCCAAGCGAAATTTCCTTGCTTTGTTTATCACTTTGTATTACTTTGCACACTTGCTGCAAACGTCATGATGTAAACCTTATAACACATTTGAATTAAACAAAATCATTTCCTATTGCTGCTTATTAAGAAACCGTTCATAGATCACAAATCTGTCACTCACCCCACTCATTATGTTCTTTTATTTGTTTTCAGGCACAACATTCAGTTTTATACATGTGCATGTTTTTATTTATTTTGCTTCATTTACTCCCTGCTGTGTCTTACACATCTATCCAAAAAGAAAGGGCAAAGCACAGCTGTCTATTAGCGTATCTTTTCCAATATATATTTTAAGCACACATGTCAAGTTTCTCTCGTGGTGTGGGCATATTTATATATCTTTATT